GTTCTCACCCACAGCCCACTTGGAAAAAAAAGTCACAGGAGGTTAAAGCGGGCCCTCATTAACCTCACATGCTGAAATAGCCAGGTGGTCTATTCTCTTTGTTATCAATAAAATACATTTTATACTGGCAGACTTTCTAAGCTACCAAGGAAGTGTGAGTGACAGGGAAAAGTTCATCAGGAGACAATGGCAAAGAATAAAAGGTGATTTATTAGGAGATGTATACCCAACTACCCAGGAAAGCAAGGAAAGGTGCACTCTACTCACTAAAAATAAATACACATCTGAAAGTGGTCATTATAAAAATTGCAGATATTTTCTCCTCAATTCAAGAGCTGTTGTAAAAGTAAATCTGCCTGATGCATGAAAACATGACTAAAACACAGGAGGCTTGGTAAGTAGCACATGAGAAGTAGAGGTTCTGCTTTAAAGTGATTAAAGAAAGTGAATATCAGAACGTCTCAAACTCTTCAAGGTGCTACCTCTCCCCCACTACTGTGGCAAGCAGTCCTATCCTGTCATGCTCAAGTGACTGCAATGCTCGTCCATGGAAAGGACAATTTACCCTCTCCTCTTCAGACCGTCTATTTTAGGGCACTGGCTTTAGTCTTTCCTCCTTAAAAAACTTAAATGAGCTTTTTTGCCCCCCTTAGTCAGCCATACAGGCCTGGGCTCTCAGTTTTGGTAGAAGTTGATCTGAAGTTTGCTGCTGACAAATCTGTGTCAAATAAGGGTCATTAAAGCTGAAGGCAGTGCTAGAGGCACCATCACATATGTAGTACTGTATTTTCTATAAGTGCTATGTTGAGCCTGCAAAAATGAATGAAAATACTCCAATTCATAGAAATCAATAATATATTATTAAACAAAGAAGCCTTCAAGCATCTCTGTTTATGTATGCAAACCTTTCACAGGGAAAGTGGGCTGTATTCAGTGAGACTAATGGTCTCTATGGAATAGACTGAGCTACTATGCAAAGGTACAGAGGATCAGAGCTAAAGGTGCTAGAAATCTCAGTGACAGAGATGTATCTCACAGCAGTAAGACGGAGGCTGCCAACCTCTCCCAACTATTTTAAAAATGAAGTTGACTTAGATGACAATGGAATTTACCTTTTCCTTTCATCTACTCTTCACTCTTCTTAATGCAACTTCTCCAATTTTCAAATTCATTTTCTGGGAATTAACTGGACAATTAACTGTAACTTACTAAGTATTTATCAAGGATGTTCATTATGCAAATACCTACAGATCTAAAATATATCCACACTCAAGGAATTTCATTAGAAGGAATTGTTGTGGATATTTCAGAATTTGTCTTCACTTGCACCAAAGATTGGAAAAGCAAATGTTAGGATTACATTTCCTTTCACAGATCTCATAGGTTTTTCAAAGATGTTGTAGAATAAAATTACCGCATTGATTGGAAAATCTAAATATCTCAAAGACCTTTTTAAGAAAAAAAAAGAGAAAATGGTTTTGAAATTTCTGTGACACTTCCAGGCTGATACTGCAGGTCCCTTGATGTCAGTATCACTCTTTGGCTTAAGGAAGCTGTAGGGAACATCACAGCCACCATTGCAAATTTCCTCTGGCAGGACTGTTCAGTGCCACT